TATTTTGTTTGTACCATGTATGTACACTTCCTGAAGATGGAAGGGGGGGGTAGCTGCCTATCTTCTCTGAACATGGAGTACGATGCATTTTGTGAGATATTTCCATTTTAGACAACTGTCATCATGTCTTGTGCTGAAGTAAAACATGATTAGAGTTGTCCCAAAACCGAAACATATGCTAGAAGGGCCGCGTCGGAATCGAGCACGCAGTCACGCCCACTTCATCTCCGGGAGATTGAGTATATTCAGTGATTATAGACTTGAAGAAGGGCTCGAGATGTCGTCGGTGATTCAAACAAATGGCTTTCCTATTACTTACTTATTAATTTATTTATTTGTTCATTTGATTAGCATTTGGAGTTTCATTTTATTCAATCACAATGAAGAAGTATGCCATGATGCTCAGGAATTCTTCCATGCTAGCATAGAGAGATTGCTAAATACCGGAGAAGAATATTTTGACCACCTTTTTTCAATGAGAATTTTCTTTCTTTCCAGCTATGATATGGTACACTTTGGCCATGCGAATCAACTACGTCAAGCGAAACAATTCGGTAAAAAACTTATTGTTGGAGTGCACAACGATAACGAGGTCGGTTCCTGACACGAATGGTAATTTGTCACGAACCGTTCGAAATATTCACGTACAAGTTACATTCTAAATACGATTCTAGAGCGAAAAATGGATTGCTAAATTATCCAGCACCCGTTTAGATTACGATGCACAAAGGCCCACCAGTATTCAACGAAGAAGAACGATACAGGATGGTTGAGGGTATCAAATGGGTTGATGAGGTCTGCCTCTAAAAATTTTTCCTACTTCTGTATTCTGATACCCATCTTTTATTTATTGTCATCTTCCAAAGTTTAGTTAGGAAAGCTTTTGCTACTGTTACTTGAAAAGTTTAGCCGCTTGACAAAAAAGTACCGGAACTGCATGAAAGCAAGGCGGTCCCACTAATCTCTCAGGTTATTCCCACATTTCTCCATGTGTATTAAAGTACGGTGCTCTGTGCGTACGTAAATGAATGGCCAAGGTGGCGATGCCTTGAGGATGCGCTACGAACTAGATTTTCTCGCAAAATCGTTTCCTCAGCAATCCTTCTTCATCCACAGCCCATATCAGAGCGAAAAAAACGGCGTTCCTACGACGAATGTGCGTTTTGCGTCCGACCACCTTTTCATGTTAATAAGAGCCCTTCGTTCGGTTAGAGTCAACCCTTGGCGCTGCATCTCTTGGTACCTTGAAGTTCGATATGAGAGGAATCCCCTCCCCCACTGAACTTCCGGAGCTCCTACGACTTCTGGTTACTTATCACAAAATTGGATTCGCCCAACCGCCAACTAGAGGGGGAGGGGGTTGGAGATGGGCGGGTTTGCTTTCTGTCATTTTTCGACCACTAGACGACAAGCTGTATATTCACCTCTTGGGACGGTCCTCACCATGTGCGAGGTGAATGAATACACAGCTGCAGTAGCAGGCCACTTTTTCTGCTCAAAGTTGCAAGGGAACTGCTGTAGGGTAATGGTACACGAATGCTGCCTCCATACTGCGCTCAGGCTATCCCCAAGGGGCAGCACTTGCTTTGATACAAAGGTACCGCAACGAAACACGCTTCGGTGTCAGTGAACAACCAGAAGTGAGATGCGCAGATACGTAGCGCGTTTGGCTATGGTTAGGCCTGTGGGTGGCTGTGCGACAGCGCGGGCGGAGTACGGAGACGGCACTCGGGTAACACTACCCTTTGGCGCGGTTCCCATGCACTTTTGAGTGTAGAAAGAGGCACACTATTGCAACTGCCGACCCATTCACCCCACACACTGCTAGGATCAGAATGCGCGCAGCTGCGTGTACAGTTCGTCATAAGGCAAGTACTGTACCAAAAGCACATCCGCAACCACGTTCACACAAAATAGGGTAGCCACCCTCTCACCATTTCCGGGATACGTGACATAGAAATATGAGACTCGGTTCAACGCATAAACTTGTTTTTATGACAACAGATTACCTAGATTGGATTATTGCATTGGTTTTTTTGGAATTCTGTGATTTTTTTTATTCAATTTTTGGATTTTTGTTAGACCTTTTCAAAAGTAGCCATGATTGTCTCCACGCTCTTACATTTATAGGTGGTCGAAGATGCGCCTTACGTCACCACTGTGGAAACGTTGAATCGTTACGACTGTGATTTTTGCGTTCACGGAGGTGAATTCTCTTGATTCTATTAATCCCTTTTTTGTGTTAAGAATGCGAAATATTTCATGCGCTGTTGTTATATAGGTGTTGTTGAGGTTATGTAGGGGCAACAGGGCACGTCACGCATGTGATAATTTTTTTGGTAAATACGCCTCTCTCCAAAAGTGCGTTTCGCTACGCCTCCCCCCCCCGTCGAAAAATAAGACAAAAAAAAGACAAGGAAGAAAATTATATCGAACAGATACTCAAATTTTAGACATTCAGAGATTACCATGTATTGATTGCCAGCAATCAATACGCTTTTTCGCTGTTGCACTAGAGCAAGGTATTTCGGGATGTGTGCAAAGTCGGTGAGGAGCTGCGGAAGTACTCTTCCTTTGAATATTCATAACGGAGCTTCTGAAGAGAGGAAAGCAAGGGTTCGAAGCCCTAGATTTGCAGTTTATTGGCCGCACTTGAGCGCATTTGAATTCTTCTTTTTGAGGAGTTTCTCCGATGTGACGTCGTGTTGCATTTCAATGTCA